TAACCTTCGCACCCACCCGGTGCTTTATGTGGGCTTGCTTACGCCGTATTGGGATCCGGCGCAAGTGAACGCGAAAGCGTTGGCGCTGGGGCGGCACGCAAAGGCGCCCGACCTCCCAAAAGCTGGACCAGTAACTGGTTCTGAGCATGAAGTGCAATAATTTTGTCTCCAACGGTGCAAGGCGCTCCATCGTCGCTAGTGACGTATTCGTATGCTCGACGGCTAGGAGCCGCTCCGACAGAGTGCAATAATTTTCAACGTGATGCAGTCGGTGCTCAAAGTGCTCCAGGCTCTCGAGGGCTTCCACACAGCGGTAGGCGACCTCGGAAAGATTATTGGCAGAGTGTCGATGACGACGGACTTTGTCCGCTCAAGAGCATCGCGAGTCACCGGACGGCGATCGACCAAGTCGTCATCGTCCGCCGCCAACTCTTCTCGATGAGAATGGTGGCATTTACTACCACACGGAACGTCATGTGGGTAGACGTCGTCGACAGAGTCTAACCCAATATCTTGTGAAGTGGCGAGGATACCCAAACTCCGAGAACTTGTGGGAGTCTGAGGTGCCACTTCGGCAAGACTGCCCAGACATCGTGGTCGCTTATGATCAGAAGGATCGTGACGCTCCGCGTCGTCGTCCGCGCTTTTCCGCAGTAGCCCGGGTAGCCGGAGGGCCATGAACTGAGCTCAAGCTATGGCCCTGGGCTGCTGCGGCCGCAGACTCACCCGTGTGAGAGGCCACGGAACTCGTGGGAGCATGAGGGATCAACCCATACGCTGCAGGGTGACAATCCGAAAAAAATCGGCGACACGCCTTAAGTTTGGCGAACTCAAACCGATGATGGCGCTCCACGCGCGCGTCCACCTCTCTGTTGCTCAACTGTAAGCTGTGAAGCGAAAAAAGTTTCCGGTGCCGCTGCACCCATCGCTTAAAGAGCTCTTCGTCATCTGCAGTGGTTTCACCATTGGCAAGCACCACAGCAATCGTCCGCATCGCTGGTCAATGCGTCTCTTCTTTCAGCACAAAGTCGAGTGCGGTACGTATCCACCGGGATTTCTTGAGGAACCAAGAAGCGAGCTCGGGGAGTTTTTCGTTCGTCAAGCTCAGATTGTGTAGTGGCCGGGGGAACCAATCACGTAGACGCCCAACGATCGAGTGATCGCGTCCTTCGCTTCTTAAGCGGGATCCGCCGAGCAGAAGTCGACCACACGAAGGTCAAGGATCGACCGTAGATGCACGTGCATGAAAGCCGCCCTTCGGACAGCATCCAGCTGCTGCTTCTGTGACTCGTCGAGGTGATTGGTAATGGTACCACCCAGAGGTCGAGAGCTGGAAGAACGGACACGGCATCCGCAAGGTTCGAGCAGGGCTCACGTCGCGCCACTAGGGCACCTCGCCCTCTTCTTCTTCCCATACTGGGAAAGGGAGTATCCGACTCGTAGTCGACCTCCTCCGAATACTCGACGAGGAAATTCGTCGCTCGGGACGGGCGCGGTGTGTGGCGCTCGGCTGCCGAGGGCTGGGACGTGCTTCCCGTGAAGCCGCGGACGTGCAGAAGAAGAAGGGCTCGCC